ATTCTTAGTTCTTCATTAGGAATCAAATGATAGTTCACATTTTTTAGAATAATTTCTTTTGTGTTAAAATACACCTCATTTGAGTGGAATCACATACTATTTGTCCTTTTGTAATTGGCTTGTTCTACTGAGCATAATGTTTTCAAGGTTCATCCGTGTTGTAGCATGTGTCAAAATTTCCTTTTTTTTTTCTTATCCTTATCCAAGGATATGTTTTTATTGATTTTAGAGAGAGAGAGAGAAACATCTATCAGTTGCCTCCCGTACATACACTGACCAGAGATCAAATCACAACCTAGGTATATGCCCTGACCAGAATTGAACCCCCAATCTTTTGGTGTATGGGATAACACTTTAACCAATTGAGCCACCCAGCAAGGGCAGAATTTCCGTTTTAAGATTGAATAATATTCCATTGTGTGTATGTATATGTGCATGTGTGTATATACCATTTTGTTTATTCATTCATCTGTTGATGGGCATTTGCATTACTGGTACTTGTATTTTTTGGCTATTGTGAACAATACTGCTGTGAACAGGGGTGTACAAATATCTGTTCATGTCCCTGCTTTCAATTCTTTGGGGTATATACCAGAAATGGAATTGTTGAGTTAGATGATAATTCTATGTTTAATTTTTTGAGGAATTGCCCAAGTGTTTTCCATAGCAACTGTATGATTCTATAGTACCACTAGCAGTGCGCAAGAGTTCTACTTTCTCTGCATCCTGACCAACACTTATTATCTGTTGTTATTTTTATAGTAGCCATCCTAATAATTGTAAAGTGATATCTCGTTGTGGTTCTGATTTGCATTTCCTTAATATTAGTGCCGCTATTAATATTTGTGATGTTGGGCATCTTTTCATGTGTTTACTGGCCATTTGTGTAATTTTGGAGAGATGCCTATTTGAGTTCTTTGCCTATTTTTGAGTGCCCCATTTTTTTAAACCAAGGTAGTAACCACAAGAGCTGCTTATAACTTTACAGAACTACCAGAGATATATCACTTTTAATTGCTAACTAATACTGGTAGCAGGTGAGTGTTTACTTTAGGAAAATAGCCTATATATCTAATCAAGTGTTGTCTGTACTTCTTTTATAATATGTTTTATCCATCTCTTCCTCTCTGTTCCTATTAACATTATCCTAGTCTGCTTGACATCATCTCATGCTTTTATTACAGTTGAATCTGGATAAAAGAGTGGGTTCAAAACAAAACAAAACAGGTAAAAGCATATAGTAGGTGCTTAATTTAATAATTGGTATCTTGACAGTGAGCCCAGTTCTAATAGAGGGTAGTAAGAATAGATGGTCATAAATTCCTCTAGTAGGTTTGTTCTTCCTTATCTTTTCTTTAGTCCTTCCCCTTCAATTTAGCAAAGATTTATGATGCACAGAACCTAGATCTGAGTTCTCTCACTCGATCTGCGTGATAGTGGTCAACTCAACCTTACTGAATTAACTAAGTGATTTCTCCAATTTTCTCTATTAATTTTTTTATGATTCTTGTAAATATTTTCAGCTTTTGAGTATTGGATACCTGAATTATCTGAAAATTACATTTCCCACAATAAAATATGGTTCAGATTCTCACTAAACTGTTAAACTGGGAGGTAGCAATCTAATTCTGCTCACTTTCTTGCTTATTTTTACATATTTCCTTGGACTACTTAGATCAGTTTACCTAAACTAGAAGCCTTTAAAATCTGAACATTTAGTTTCATTCTCAAGGAATTTACCATCTACACTAATAAAAGAGAAAAATGGTAATTAGCCTTTTCATTGGCTAATCAGGGCTATATGCAATTAACTGCCAACTAAGATGGCGGCTAATTTGCATATGTAGGCACAATGCAGGGAGGTGAAAGGGAAAGCAGGAAGAAGCCCCCTGCCACTGACAGTGATTGGAAACCCAGGGGGGGAGCTAAGAGCTGGGGAGCAGGGCAAAGGCGGCCCTGGGGCCGCCTTTGCCCTGCCCCCAAGCCATGATCGGAGAATCAGGTGCCTTTGCCGCCCTGGCCAGTGATAGCAGGAAGTAGGGGTGGAGCCAGCGATGGGAGCTGGGCACGGTCGAAGCTGGCAGTCCCGGGAGCTAGGGGTCCCTTGCCTGGGCCTAAAGCAGAGCCCACGATTGCGGGGCCGCTGCTGCTGCGGGTCCCCACTGCCCCGGCCGGATGCCTAGGCCAGAGGCGTTAGGCCTGGGCAGGGGCAGAGCGGGAGATCGTGGGGAGCTGGGAGTCCCCTGCCCAGGCCTAATGCCTTGGCCAGAGGCATTAGGTCTGGGCAGGGGCAGAGCGGGAGATTGCGGGGAGCTGGGAGTCCCCTGCCCAGGCCTAATGCCTTGGCCAGAGGCATTAGGTCTGGGCAGGGGCAGAGCGGGAGATTGCGGGGAGCTGGGAGTCCCCTGCCCAGGCCTAATGCCTTGGCCAGAGGCGTTAGGCCTGGGCAGGGGCGGAGCCTGCAACCGCGGGGAGCTGGGGATCCCCTGCCCAGGCCTGACACCTCTGCCGGAGGCCTCAGGCCTGGTCAAGGGGCCGATCCGGTGATTGGTGATTGGAGGGTGATGAGGGTCAACTCCTCTGGCCGAGTCATCAGGCCTGGGCGGGGGGCTGGGGGTCCCTTGCCCAGGCCTGATGCCTGGGTCAGAGGCGTTAGGCTTGGGCGGGGGGTGGAGCAAGCGATCAGAGGGAGATGGGGGTCCCCAGCCCAGGCATGATTCCTGGGCCAGAGGCCTCAGGCCTGGGCGAGGGTCAGAGCCAGTGATGGGGGGAGATGGGGGTCCCCTGTCCAAGCCTGACACCTCTGGCGGAGGCGTCAGGCCTGGGCAAGGGGCCGATCAGGCGATCGGAGGGTGATGGGAGTCTACGCCTCTGGCCGAGGCATCAGGCCTGGGCAAGGGGCAGAGCCAGCAATCGGAGGGGTCTGGGGGTCCCCTGCCCAGGCCTGACGCCGGGGCCAGAGGTATCAGGCCTGGGCTGGGGGCAGAACCAGTGATGGGGAGAAATGAGGGTCCCCTGCCCAGGCCTGACGCCTCTTTCAGAGGCGTCAGGCCTGGGCAAGGGGCCGATCCTGCGATTGGAGGGTGATGGGGGTCAACGCCTGAGGGCTCCCAGTATGTGAGAGGGGGCAGGCTGGGCTGAGGGACACTCCCCCCCCACACACACACACCCAGTGCACGAATTTCGTGCACCGGGCCCCTAGTCAATAATAAAGCAAAATATTTTAAACAGTTAATAACAGGGTGGGGTTTTGTTTCCTTCTGAAGGGTAGTATTGCATCTTTTTTAAAAAATATATATATTTCTTTATTGACTTCAGAGAGGAAGGAAAAAGGAGAGAGAGATAAAAACATAAATGAGAATTATTGATCGGCTGCCTCCTGCACACCCCCTACTGGGGATCGAGCCTGTAACCCGGGCATGTGTCCTTGGCCAGAATCGAACCTGGGACCCTTCAGTCCTCAGGCCGACGCTCTATCCACTGAGTCAAACTGGGTAGGGCAGTATTGCATCTTAACAGGATTTGAAAATAAAGGATTAAAAAAAATGCTCTTCTGCATACTTTGTTTTTTATTTCTACTTTTGAAGTTTCATTAAATGCCAGAACGTCTTACACACCTGAGTAGGTGTCCCCCCAAAATGTATACACAGTTTTTTCTTATAGCTCAATTGATGCTTCTTTCTTTTCAGATTTAACCCATTGGAATGAATAATTATTCAAAGTGGGACAACCTGTATATTCCAAAACTAAATAAAAATACTTTTTTGGGGTTATCTGACATTTTTACTTGTTCTTACCTCTATTATTGCTTCATCGAGAATTTATATTATATTGATTTCAAATAGACTTTGAAAAGATAAAATTCTTTAAACCAGTTTAATTAATCTCAAGAAATAATGTTATGCAATAGGCTAATATAGATGTAATAGCAAATTTAAGTGAATCCTTTCTAGATAAAATTTTTGTATTTAATATTTAATGAACAGTAATTTCTGTAAATTGTCCATCCCTTTTATTTTTCTCACTCCTGTCACTTATTTGAAAATCAGTAGTCAGTCATTTATGAATAGTCATTTTTAGAATATATGTTTTTGTTTTCTATACTGCAACCTTTAGCCGTAATACAATCTTTTTTTCCTAATGCACAAATTCTCTAATATTTTAAATAACAATTTCTGTTTCTCAGGGATCAAGAAAATATTTATAACTCTGTATTTGTCACTGGGAAAACTAGTTTTAATTTATATTGACCTTTTTCTCCTTTGAGCATTTAGTCTGCATTCAATAAAATGTTGATGACTGCTCTTTAGAAGACAGCTGTATGAAATAAAGTATTATAAATATTCAGCTTTCCTTTCTAAGCATTGTCACCAACAGCTGGGCATCCAGTTTAGCAGAACAGATTTTGCACAGAGAGAGCCTGGCATGTTCCTGAATCAGTTTAGCGAAGGAGACGAAAAATAGTTTCATATGGATTGGGGACTTATAAAGACATAGAACATCTGTTCCTCAGTTAAGTCATAGTCTGGTAGCATTGAATCATGTTTAAAGCTACAAAAATGTGAAAAACTTGTTTCACCTTGCTCATACCTTTATGTTAATACCCAGTGCATTATTTGTGCAAATAATGTACTTTCAGTATCTCCATTGAAGGTATGTAAATTATTTTGCTCTTCTGTATAATTTTTATTAGTGTTATTTTAGAACACAAATAAGTAATTTTTACTAAGATTATTTTATAATATGACTAATGATTGAATTGTATGATAATGCATATATAAAACCACATATGCATAAAAGATCCATTTAAATATTTAATTATGATTCCATCTTGAAATATGCTATTTTAAAAAGTTTCATTGCTCTGAAAATTGCTTTCTTATGGTATTTTACTTTACTTGGAGAAGGTAACTTAAAATCTTTATATATATACTACTCTTAAATATTTGGTTACTAAAAGCACATCCAATCTAAGATTTCTTTAAATATTTTGTTTGCAGTGTTAAAAGATCACTGAAATTGGATGATCCGTTTGAAGCACATGTAAGTATTTACTTATGAATTTATAATTGCATAGTAAGATTGTGGTCTTAATTTTTTAACAGCTAATTTACCTTACTAAATATAAAATCATCAAAAAACATGGTAGCACAATTGTGATTGGTACATAATTTTCTGCATATAACACATTTCTGTAAATCTAATGTATGGAAGTTCCCGGCCAGCTTGAGGTTTCATTTAAGAGGCAAATTATTGAGAAATATTATGGAAATAATTTAGTAGAAATTAATTCACTATTTGTAGAAAAAATATTCTGCCACTTAAATGCACAAGAAACAATATGGGACAATGGTAATGTTTTAATCTACATTCTATAATCTATAATATCTGAAATAAAAACATTAACAGCATTTTTATATCAAAAATGTAATTACCTGTTTCAGCTACACTGGCATGATTAAACAATAAAATACTAACACTGTAATAAATTTCACCATGGTTGTCACAATAAAAATAAAATTGTACTGTTGCTATTACTTTTTGTAAATTTAGTCATAGCACATTCCCAATGCCAGCATATCATGACATATGTTAGTTTATTATCTTTTCATACCAATATGGATCTAGATACAAACACTAATACTGAGCTACTTATGGCCTCAGTAATCTTAAGTGCAAATAAATTGGTGAGAAAGTAAATTAAAACCAATAGCTAGTCAATAAATAGGCTGCTACAAAATCCCATAGGAGAATACCATTTCAAGAAATGGTTTTATATGGAATTCTTTTTTGGAAGACTCACTGGTATTTAACAGTTTACCATTTTTAAAAGTTCCTAAATGCTTTTTTAAAAAATTTAAACAAAGATGGCAAAATACTGCAGTGCCACTAAAAAAATCATTAGCAATGTAATTAGCAATTTAGAGTACCATTATCCAACTTGCTCTGTACAGAATGCAGCTGTGACTGTAATTCTGCATCTGTTTCTTTGGTCAAAATGGTATTTGGGTAGATGAGTAGTCCAGCTTGAAATGGAATACTGCTCTTTCCTGCCCCAAAACTGTTCTTTGGGAGATGGTGACATTATTCGAATGGAAAAGAATAGCCATTTAGGAATTTATCCTCTTTGTGAAGTACAGTTGTCGTCATGGCAGGTTTTCTGCCCTTTTCTTTCTTTCTTCCTTTCCTTCCTTTCTTCCTCTCTTTCTTTTCTTCCTTCCTCCCTTCCTTCCTCCCTCCCTCCCTCCCTCCCTCCCTCCCTCCCTCCCTCCCTCCCTCCCTCCCTCCCTCCTTCCTTCCTTCCTTCCTTCCTTCCTTCCTCCCTTCCTCCCTTCCTCCCTTCCTCCCTTCCTCCCTTCCTTCCTTCCTTTCTTTTCTCTTTCCAAATTACGATGTATCAAGGAAGCCAGTGCCACAGCTAATATCCTGTATTAGAAAAATACATTGTTTTCTTTGGCCCAATTTGTACCTTTAAACCAGCTGACTTAGCTTGGCCAGCACCTGCTACATACCAGTTTTCAGCATCCTCGCCTGGGCCTTCATCATTTCTCATCTGTTTCTGATATTTTCAGCTTTTGTACTCTACCTAATCATTTGTTAGCAACTCTATATTCACAGCTTAGGTCTGATAGCTTCTGTGCTGCTGCTAAGTCTAGTCTTCTCTCAGCTACATTTATCCTTCCATCTTCTCCAGAAACAACTCAACCCTGAAACAGCCAGGCTCCCAAGAATCTACCCACATGCCACTGATCCCATTGAGGCTGTCTTAGCCCATGCAAAGGAAAATCAGACATTCAAAAAGAAACACAGAGCTAGACTTCTAAGAGTACATATTGCTGTAAGCTACAGTGGGACTGGTAGTAATTTTTGGTCATTTTGCCTGACCAATACAATGCTGAAGGAAGAAGGGTTTGGTGTCCAAGGAGAGGAGATAGCCCTTATATGCCACTTGTTTGAAGTGGAACCTGTTTATCTTAATCTGCTATTTCCTCTGTCATAGATATTGGGAATTTTCATATGCCAGTGTTCCTATGGAGCTATAGATTAATGCTCCATGATGTCAGGGCAAGTCTACAAAAGTCATTTTTTTAATCATTCTCCTAGTATGGGAAGCAGAGGTATGGATCATCCCCTGTGACCTTTCTTTAATATATAAAATGTATACTGCAAGTACCAGTTCTTACTGAACCTTCCAAATTATTTGGGGATTGTGAGGAGTCCTGAAAGTTTCAATTTATCATCACCTATAGTATTTGGGCTGCTCAAGTTCTTGTTCTCTAAGCATTGTTTCTTGATAAACTTTCATGAGCAAAGATGAATTATTTATTACAAACTGCTGCCAATATCAGTCCAGATGATGTTATACGGACAACTGGCTACCTGGTTGTAGACCTAGCCAGCTTGACACAATCCCTTTCAGTCCATCTCATAGAAGGAATGAAAGGAGCAGATGCTACGAATGGGAAGGGGAGGAGCATATTTCCTGCTAAGACAAACTCAGTCAGCATGCTGCTAGAAATCTGGAATGGCAGTTTAGGTTTGGGCATAGATTATTACATTACTATTGGTAGGACACTTCTAAATCTGCTTATTCCCATGGCCTATACTTGTCTTATCTAAGACAGAGCTTCTGAGCATTAGGAACTTTTATAGCTTACATTCTGTAGATTTACTTCCTGATCTGCCTCAAATCTACTCCTCTCCCTCTCCCTCCTTCCCTCCCCTTCCCTTCTTCCTTGCTTTGTTTACCTTTTTATTATGAAATTTTTCAAACATATACAAAAGTAGGACAAATGATTTTATGAACTCCCATGCTGTTTCAATAATTAGTAGCATTTTGCCAATTTTGGGATATATATATATAAAAGAGCCAGGATTGTTACCACTGAAGGCTCGACCGGACCGGAAGTCAGTGCTGGGTGGCAACCCAGCACTGACTGGGGCCTCTGCAGACGCCCTGACCCAGCACTGACTGCCTAGGGGGCTGCGGATCAGGCCCGGAGAGAGGCCTGTAGAGGGAGAGTCAGGGTCTGATCCATAGCCTTAGTAGCAGCCGTTGATCAGAACTTGTTTCTCTCTCTCCTGGCCAAAAGCCGCCCTCCATTTCTCTCCTAGCCTCCACCAAGGCTGCTGATCAGCCCCGCCTTTCTGATCAGGCCCCATTGTAGCCCAGTGATGCTGACTGGCGTAGAAACTGACCAATCAGAACCAAATCTGGGTGAATGTAAGGAGCCAATGGCTGCCCAGAAGGCGGAGCTATTGACGCTGACTGGCATAGAAACTGACCAGTCAGAACCAAATCTGGGTCAACTGTGAGGAGCCAATGGCTGCCCAGGAGGCGGAGCTTTTGACGCTGACTGGCATAGAAACTGACCAATCAGAACCAAATTGGCCAGCAGAGGAGGGCAGTTGGGGGCAGATCAGACCTGCAGGGAGGGCAGTTGGGAGCAAGATCAGGCCGGCAAGGGAGGGCAGTTAGGGTGATCAGGCAGGCAGAGGCAGTTAGGGGTGATCAGGCAGGCAGAGGCATTTAGGGGCAATCAGGCTAGCAGGGGAGAGCAGTTGAGGGCTCGATCAGGCGGTAGGGTAGAGCAGTTAGGGGCGATCAGGCAGGCAGGCAGAGAGGTTAGGGGCAATCAGGCAAGGAGAGGGGTTAGGGGCGATCAGGCAGGCAGGTGGGGGTTAGGAACCAGCGGTACCAGATTGTGAGAAGGGTATCCAACCACCTGATTAGGCCCGATTCCAGTGGGCCTAAATTGGCAGTCAGACATCCCCCGAGAAGTCCCCGATTGGAGTGGGTGCAGGCTGGGCTGAGGGAAACCCCCCTTCTGTGCACTAATCTCGTGCACCGGGCCTCTAGTATATATATATATATATATATATATATATATATATATATATATATATATATACATATATATATATATATATATATACATATATACATACATACATATACACACACACACATATATATGTATACATATATATATACACACACACACACACACACACACACACTAGAGGCCCGGTGCATGAGATTTGTGCACTCATGGGGGAGTTGTCCCTCAGCCCGGCCTGCGCCCTTTAGCTGATATCCTACTGATGGCTTAGGGGAACGGGGAACGGGCCTAAGCTGCAGTCGGACATCCTTAACACTGCCTCAGAGGCGGAGAGGCTCCTGCCACCACTGCTGCGCTTGTCAGCCATCAGCCCAGCTTGTGGCTGAGGGACACTCCCCCTGTGGGAGTGCACTGACCACCAGGGGGCAGCTCCTGTGTTGAGCATTTGCCCCCTGGTGTCAGTGTGCATCATAGCGACCGGTCGTTCTGCTGTTCATTCGATTTGCATATTACCCTTTCATTATATAGGATTATTATATAGGATATATATATACACATACATATGTACAGTCATGCACCACATAATGAAATTTCTGTCAACGGTGGGTCTCATATACAATGTCCCATAAGATTGTAATGGAACTGAAAAGTTTTGTCACCTCGTGATGTAGCCGTCATAACATCATAGTGCAGTGCATTGCTCATGTGTTTGTGATGATTCTGATGTAAACAAACCTAGAACGCTGCCATTCTTATAAAATAATAACACATACAATTATGTACAGTACATAATTCTCTGTATAATAAAAGCCTAATATGCTAAGTGTCTGACCATTCGTAAGATGTGCACTGACCATCAGGGAGCAAACCCTCTGACCGGTAGGTTAGTTTGCTGCTGGGGTCCGACCGATCAGGACTGGGTGAGGGCCCTGGAGCCCTCCTGCGGCCCCTCCCTGGCCCCGATCATGCACCGGTGGGGTCCCTCTGCCTGGCCTGTGCCCTCTCACAATCTGGAACCCCTCGGGGGATGTCAGAGAGCCAGTTTTGGCCGAAAAACCACAGGTCAGGCCAAGGGACCCCACCAGTGCACAAATCTGTGCACCGGGCCTCTAGTACATAATAATAAATAACTATGTTACTGGTTTATATATTTTTTACTTTTACTGGTATTTTAGAGTTTTCTCTTTCTACTGGTAAAAG